CATCATTCAGAATTTTAAATCATATTAATCATATTTTATTCATGGGTGCTCTTCGAACAATATTTTCGAAGGGATCAAGTGGTTTTATTTATAATTTTCCAAAATTGGTACTTAACCTTTTGGTTACTGAACTTATTTCTATGTTAAGCTAGCATAATAGGATTTTGATTTTAGATCTGGCTTTTCATTCCAGTCATGAAGTTATTATTAAGACCTTTTACAAATATTAACCATAAAAGTAAACCTTTGTCTATAAAGTAAAGGTTCAGGTCGATTTGTTTAGATTTGGGTAAAGCATTCGATATACTTCGCCTTCAAGCAAATAATGAATCTATAAGTCATTTAACTATTGTCTTTATTAATTTATTAATCATTGAATACTATAATATTACGTTATTATTAACATAAACAAAATAGGCTACATCACTTAATAGAATACAAGGAAAACATTTAAAAAATCATATGTTCTGGAACTGTTAACTAACCATTGAAGTCAAGCCTTGGAAAATTTTGATTATTTTCCTTTCCTGTTTTCTTCACCTAATAAGTAATCAAGTTTTTTTTACATTATTCAAAGAACTGGTTGCTAACTGAATGTAAAATATTCTGACTAATGTAACCGCACAGGTATGGAATTCCCAAGGCAGTTAGCTGGTTAGGAAAAATCGTACGTGGGTGCCCAAGGTTTTGTTTGGATGTTGGAAGCTAATATTGGTATAGAGCTCTAATATTTCGAAGCATTTTAGAATTACGTGTGATTTGGGGTTGGCAAGTAATAATATTGAAAACCTAATTAAGATATGAAATCAGATAGTAAAGAGTAAAGTTTTGTAGGTAAAAATCACACATAGTATTTTGCATATGTATTTTTTAGGTTATCTCTGAAGGGAAAAGTGTTAATGCTAATTTTACTCACAAGACTTCTCAGATAATGATATGTAAGTTAAAAACCTGAGATATCACCATAAGAAGTACCATTTGCAGCCATTAAACCTAGAGGAGTAAAATATACATCTTTACGTAAACCATGAAGTATATTTCTTTTATTTTCCAACACTGTATATTTTAGAAATTCGAAGAAACTTATCTTGTTACAGAAATAATATTTTTGGTCATAGAATATTACAGACTTGAGATCACAGAGAATTCAAATTAGCTCTTTATGAATAGTGAACACTTATGAATATTCACAGTTATAATATTACAAATAGATGATTATTATATAAAATAAATTGCGTAATGTGAGGATTTTTTCTTTTTCTCTTAGATGTTGTTTTTTCGTTTCTTTTTAAACGGTATCTACCGAAATATTGTGGTCCTGTTGTATTGCTTTATTGTACACACTGGTCTTTCACTTTCATGGTTCTATTCAGTAAAATCATGTATGAATATAAAGCTTTTCTACTTATGTAATAAGGTCCATAATTTAATAAGGCATTCTAAAAACATAAATAGTGAAAAATAAGTATTGTCTGTTTCTAAGTCTGTTTTTATGACGTAAAAGGCACAATTGTATATCTTGTACGGTTGTACCTCCATTTTGCCTTTAGCTACGTTTATTAAAATATGATGACATTTTGTTCTTCCATTTGAACTCGCAAAACCAGTCTTTATTTATTCGACTTTCCTCTAACGTTGTCCTAGTTTTGGCTAAAAAGATTTCCAAAACAGACCTTAACAACATGCTATGTAGACTATGTGTAAAAACTTGAGGCTTTCTGTTGCGTACCTAGTTTCTGGAATGTCACGGTGACAAACAGGGGTTACACATCAAAAGCGCGTGACAACCCTACAGTACATAATGTGAGGGCTTGTTTATGTAAAGGTCGTACCTAACTATGTATATAGAAAATACGTCAGTACTACCTCTATGAAAATGTCAATGTATTTCCCAGTGGGTTCAATAGTGTCTTTTTCTTCTTGTTGGTCTAAAAGTTTTTTTTTTCTGATGAATCATGTCGTTCTTGCTATATCCACTTTTGACGACTTGTATTTTTATAGGTTCAGTTTATTGTGTTGTATTCCTTGTACCAGTTTGTAGTAATTGATAAGGTTATGGTCGAACATTTCCATAGTCGTATTTGAAAATATTGTATCTTTCCCAACCATTAATATGGTTGGTTGGTGCACAAACCAGCTAAAATCATCAATAGCTTCATTAATATTAAAATACAGTTCCTTAACGAACGATTTCGTAAAGAAAAAATAAACAATACCCAACCCAAAAGAGGTTAATGAGAGATGCTCTACGAATTAGATAAACAATCTAATTTAAGTGATGCAATGTTTCAAACACTTCCTTCTTCTTAATCGATCCCTTTTGTAATATCATCAACAAATCATTCAACGATTATAAACGTCTGGTTTTAGTTAATCAGTTGTATTGAATTAACAGTTACTAACCTAACAGCTATGTGCACACACGTTTTATGCACCAAATAGTTGCAACCGTCACATCTAGCAACCAGTTTTTGCATGTTATATTTTGATTTCTACGAAATAATGGGGTTCAATTATCTACCGTAGACTGAACGAGTAGGTAGGCAACTGGTCCTTTAATCAGAGCACGTCTCTCAGCTTGATGATGATGATGATGATGATGATAATAATGAATTGGATACTCCATGTCATTTGAAAAAGCCCTAATATTTTGTATGACCTACTAGAACCCTTGCTCAGCTATCCTACCTGTGACCATTCGACCAGTATATTCGAACCAGTAAATAAAATTACACAGTTTTAGCCTTGCAAGCTTCAAAGCACCGCTCGCCGTTAACATACACCAGTAACCGTCCACTCTAGTTTACTGGAACGCGACCAGCATAATATTAGCGACGGAATTAACTACTGACTCTTCATGGACTTGTAAAGACGATGTTTGATTGATGGTAATATCAAGAAACTATCAGAACTGTTCTAGTTCATTGATAGGATTATTAATCTTGTCTACTTTGGAATGTTGGTTATCTAGTTCTGGTTTATTTTGAACCAGGTTGGTTGATTTTCTTGACCGATATTGAAATTACAGAATCTTGACGTTATGTCCTTCTGATACTAAGAAATTAACAAATCGTTTGTTGTTGGCTGATACAGAATGGTGCTTTAATCAACCCTTCATCATCAAAATTAGTCAGTAAATGTCCTACTGCCAAACAATGGCTTCTTTTTACATGGAGAATTAACGTTAATATTATGCTATGAGACTTCTGCTTCTGGTCCTTCGATACGATTGAATCCCTTGCATGAAATGACACTACTTTCCAGTATATCATTAAATATCAACATGTTTTTTCAATTAAATGTTTACTATCTTTTCATATCACGCAAACTTATTTCCTCGTTCTAAGTCCTATAAAAATGACTGCGAATAATTCGGTTACGAGGTTGACTGCTCAGATACCATAAACCAACAAAAAAGTTCAAAGCAACTAAACCAAGAAGCATATCAAATAAATTATTCAGTTTATCGACAGTTTTTATCCATCAGTAATATCCGTGTCCATCACGTAATCACCGATTCATAATAAATTGTAATTAAAATCACCGTTAATATCAACAGCAATAATTATGTCACCATCAACACTTAATCTGGCATTTTTATTATGACTACTGATCATTAATTGTTTTTTGTTATTATTATTATATTTACCTTGACACCTGTCTGTCGAGAAAACGTCGCTATTGATATATTAGAAGTATTTAGTGTATATCTAACAGGTGAATAGAATCACCTGTTCTTAGCTATTACAAAAGGCACACTTCAAACTAAACTTGTATGAGGATTCTTCCACCTGTTGCAGTATACAGTCTACTGTAGTCCGTCACGATCTCAGTAACAAACGGGTAAATGTAGCAGTGGGTCAACCACAGTCCGGTGCGCCGGCGCCGCATAAATGTTTTCAATACTTTGAATCACTCACGCTCTAACTACACTAAGCAAATGCCTTTAATTTAGTTTTTAAGACTTTGTAGGTGGAAATACCATAATTAATTGGACGTTTTGGCCATAAGAGACGTTTAATTAGAAATGATAAATTATTACTTATTTAAACACAGACCTAAAGTTTCCAATATCTCGTGATATAATAAGTCACAGTCAATAAATTAAACAATACAATAAAATATGTCGCCTGACATGTTCTATATTGGTCAATTAAATGTACATACGATGTTATTAAAAAGCGATCGTACGGTCGCATTCGGTCAGCCCCGGACCGGTTCTCAAACGACCTTGCGTCCGCGCACGTTCACTTACTGATCTATAGATTGAGGCTTCGTAACATTTGTTTATTGGTGCCTTTGTACCAATATGGCAACTGGTCTTTGGATCACTTTTCCATAATCTCCTAAGCGGATTTCAATGTGACTTTACAATCTAGTTAGTCTAAGGCTCATTTTTGACAATCCTTTGTTCGTATTTCGCTGCAAATAACCTTCATCATTATGGCAATCAAATGTATGTGCGTGAGTGTCATCAGCTTTATATCACCATGCCATTGACCTTCGTAAGCAAACAAATCACCTTGAGGCTCTATTGTGTACCCGATTCACAGCTGTTACATGTACTGTGTAAAATGACGCACGAACACTTGCTTTATGTATGACAGGTGGTCATACTACCCAAGTTGTGAGGCTTCGGGTTGATCGCGGACAGGAAGACCAGATGGCAAACGATCACAAAGTGGTCCTGAGGCATGTAACTTGTTCATATGTTGACATAACCGAGCGAAATGTATTTACCGACGTATATCTGGTTACTGCTTGCAACAACCCACTTGATTACCTGTCAGACACATCAGCTTTTCCCCTATCAATATGTACGTGTTTACTGTCCATCGAGCAAAGAAACTGACCGTCTCTTAGAAAGCATTTCTTCAGTGTTTCAAGCAAAAACAGCGCTTTAAACTCTTGTTTCCAACGGTTTTATGCGCAAGAGTGTTGCTTTCTCTCAAGCGACGCGTCGCTGACTACGCATGCGCCCAGCCAGTCGCTCACGGCCGTTCAGTGGGGCCGCACGCGTCGGTACATCAGAAATTCGCGAATCGAACAGTCGGCGGGTCGTACCGCCGCCTTACGTCAGTAGCCAGTGTTAAAGTGTCCACAGTGCAAAAACAAATATTTAGTGATTAAACACTTGGAACTTACCAAGGTTAGCAGTGTTGTGTTGCAAAAACAGGAGGATCTCAAGTGTATATTTTTTTCTCAGCCATCGTCACGCGCTTTGAGCTGTTTTTATGTAGGTTTCTTATTTATGTGTTTCTGTAATTGTATTCGTAATTATTCTCGATTAACGTAAGGACGTTCCAGTTAGATGATCTCTCGATTAACGAGATTCATTGCTGGTAATTTGCTGAATTTTCTTTCCAAGAAAATTATTGTCATTGTTATTGACTTGCTTGTTTAACTCTCGACTCAATTGTGCTCAAATTAAGCTTGTTTTAATATGGAAGATTGAATGCGTCACATAGCAACTTAAAACGAGATTTGAGTAGGAAGCTGTATCTTAGCACTAAATCACCTTGAGATCCGGTATCACACAAATACGAACAGTTGAAAGTGAAACAATTTACATAAATATATTAATTAACCAACTTATTATTTAACGCTTAATCTTTGTATATGTTTGAAAATAAAATTGCATGACATATTTATTTTAGTCACTTCACATTATCACGCTTTGGCGTTAAGTGTTATGAATAATAATAAAACAACGTAAACAAAATAACATCGAATGTCACGAAGACAAAACGTGAATATGATAAGAAAATCGTTAATGTTTGACTAATAATACACATTAGCACGAAACTGCGTACCCTAAGACCAAGTTTCTGTCATGATTATTATCTGGACGATAAATTCCATATAGGTATCGATTTTCTCACGACTTATCAAACCCTTTTATCATATGTCACAATCTCAGAGACGTGAGATTAAAGTAACGTGATAAATAGAATGACATAAATGTACACAGTTGTAAATAGGTCAGTTATGAGTTCTAAGAAAGATAAACAACATCAAAACGCTTCCTGATCCACAAATAAAGCTTATTGGGCCAGTGAAATTGAACGAAACTGATCGAAATAAAGAAATCAGAATAATATCAATAATTCTCTTTCATACAACATTATTTTCTTGGAGCTCCAACTTAAACAATTTCTGAAACAGATTACTCCCACAAAAGGCAGCTCTACCGAGGCTTTTACCGCTCAGTTAACTTAAAGATTTGGGGCATAAAGAATCCTCAAAAATACTTCTTTAAGAGTTTTAATAAAATTATAACAGCTGTACTTTAGAACTCCTAAAGAAAGTTAAGTTTACCTTGTTGTGAACATTCTCCCGCTAGAATAATCAGGTTATGTCAAAAAATATTATAAATTTCTACCTCTGCAGGGAAGAAAATTTAACAATGTAAATTATAACTTGGGTATTATTTTAAATGATTATACCTAAAGTAATTTTCTGAAAGCAATCTTTGTTAAATCTTGAGTGTCTTTGACGTCATATGACTTTTAAAATTAGTGGTATCATTTGTCTTGTGGTTTTGTCTCCATGTGACAATCTTCCTCGTCTCCAAAGTCGAAAGACATGTTCATGTTTTCCTAACAACCCGTTCAATCACCTCTTGGACATGATGTTTTTCTTGCTTGTACATACTTTCTCGTTGTTTCTCCGCCATAATTAGTAGTTTCCCATCAACAAATGGTTGTTTTTATTTCGTGTACAGCATTTAGCGCGTGTTTTATGGACTCGGCTCAGATGTTTCGTCTATATGGTGTAATGCACCTTCCCCGTTGAGTTTCATATTGCTAATTGATTTATCGTCACGCTCTTTTCCTTTATGGGGTAAGAACCAGTCTTCGCGGCACCACGATCCCCGTTATTATGTGAATTTATGTATTTATGGAGTGTTCTTGTTCCCTCCTCAAGGAAAAGTCTATAGATCTGATTTATAGTTCATTTGATACCAAAACAAGCTTGCTCCACTTCCCTAGTATATTTTTGTCAATAGTTATTATTGGTCAGAGATGTTGTATTGATGATTTTTTAGCTTCCGACTTTTTGTCGTCAATCTCATCGATTTGCATGGATGATTTTGCATTGAGGTGTAGATGATATAAAAATGATTTTTGATGTTAGATTTCCGTTCTAAATTTTATTGCACTCTTTGAAGATATTTTCAGTATGTTAAATTGTTTTAGGTATCCCTTTTATTGCATAGTTCATATTCCCTCGGACTTTATTAAAAAGGAGTGTCATGTTTGACATAGTTTCTAGAATGTATTCGAGAATCGCTTATTTCCGACTGCCACAGTCAAAATCGAATAAAAAACCAGTGGCGGTTGATACGGAAACTGTTTTTGTTCATTTATTTGCTAGTTTTTGATAGTACTGTTCGTCTCGCTTCGTGGGAGTTTTAAATGGATGACTTTTGAAAAAAATCTCTGTTGTTTAAGACATTGAGATGTATCATTCTGTAACTTGTGATTTCATTTCATTTAAAACACTTGTGATAGACCTCTTTGTTTAGCAATTACTGCGAACGTTTGATATCGGCTTTGTTTCATTCGAACATCAATATTGTGTACACATGTACTATGATCATCGTTCATTGCAAATTCTTGTTCAACTTTAATGGTTTTGGTGTTTTCTGAACTATTTACGCCATCTTCATTCCTTTCTATTTTTCTTGCGATATTTTTACCATCAAAACTCATTATGACGTGTATGATGTAAACAGTATATTAAAGGCTTATCTTCTAGACAATGTATCGTAAAGTATGATGGTTTAACTCCACACTTAGCCTCCTCAGATTTATTTTTAATACTACTAAACACGTCAGGTGTGACGTAAGCCGTTTTATAACAGTCCACTCAAGCTTATAATGATGTCGTCTATGCCGCAAATAAACTAGTTATAGCCGACTTTGAGAGAAAAAGATGTAATTTTGCTGTTGTCTTTTCGTGTAATTTGTCTTTATTGTCCTCGAAATTTACAGTTCATTAAAAATAATTGATGGATGGATTATGAAGTAACTAGGGTTTAGGTAGAGGTACTAAAATGTTAGAATAAAATTTTCTTTTTTATATTATGGTCTACATACATATTGTTTGTGGGTTATGGATGGGATTCTACAAAGCTATTATTGTAAAGGTTTTGCCGCCCAGTCAGCTAGTATAATCGATTATCCGCTCTTTATGTCACCTACGGCAAGACGAAGTAACCTATTTTATAAAGCTATTCTGGGTTCCAGTGTCAACCGTATTGTTTACGAAAATTAAATATTATAAAACACTCATGTACTTGCCAGACTTTCTATTACGATAAGTTTAATTACAAATAGACATTGTCAACCACAACAGTCTATCGATCACCTGATTGTTGTTTGTCAATACGTCTTTCTTTGTTCAAAATAGTCTCTGTCTTCAAAAGCTGTCCCTATGTCAAAATTGGTTAAGCATCATGAAAAAAGCATACCAAGCTAACTCTACATTCACAATTATAATATTAATCTGAATTATAACTTCAGTTACACCTTCACAGAAAACTCAAATCCCATTTAATCGTATCCCTATCTGACCGTGAACTTTAAAACCTTTCTAAGAATGGTTGACAATTAAACACCAGCTGTTCTAAGCACAATGTGTGATTATTCTACCATATCATTTCTACCTTTTTTGACGTGTGTCCTATTATTCTCTTAATCGTTAACCATTGTTCTTTTATAGTTAACCACGTTACCTAACGTCCTTTGAGCAAGCTATCAAGATACGGTACTTAGTCCACATCTCAAAGAAAGTGTCCTTGATGTTAATTAAGAATCTTGCTCCTGTCATGTCCGTGGTCCGCTTTCACTTTATATTCATTCATATTTTTCATATTAATGTCGTTTTCGTGTTTGTGGTTATCAGGCTGTGTTTTGAGATCTTGTAAGGTAGTTCTTGGTATTTAGAGTTGTTTTTTTTATCAGATAGAAGCGACTGTGAGTATCGTGTATTATGTCTTTATGGGTCCTACTCTCATTTTGAATCTATACTAATTTTATAAAGCAGAAGAGTTTGTTTTTTGATTCTTTGTTTGAACGCGCTAATCTCCGAAACTGCTGGTCCGATTTGAAAAATTCTTTCTGTGTTGGATAGCCCATGTATCGAGGAAGGCTATAGGCTATAAAATATAACGCTACGATTAATAGGCGCCGAGCAGAGTGAGTGAAACCACGCGGAAGTAGCTAGTAATGAATAGAGTAGTAATTGGTATTCAAATTTCCAAATAGTAGCACAGAGATCAAATTAATTCCGTTATGGTCGTGCTACAAACATCTATATATCTCTCAACTTCTCTCGTATTTTGCAGGCAGTGTAATGCAATTTCGTTTACCCTAATGTATCGCTTCTGTCACATTGTAGTTCCAAAGCTATAGGCTTTAATACTAATTGTAACAGTTTTCCGATACATTTATCGAGTGCCGTTTGTGCAATCGATACTGTTTTATGGCTGCATTTATGCTATCGATACTTTTTAGTGCTGATGCAGTTTGCATTATCGATAAGGTCGATAAACTGTGTTGGAAGGGTTTAACAATGTTTAAAATTATCTTTATGTTAACAATTATATTGTTGTTAAGCGTGTTTCCGAAACAAAAGTGACACTGGGTTAATAAAAGGTCAAAGAGCAGTTGTTTCACTGACATTCAGTCAAATCTAGTTTTGACCAAAAGCTGATCAGAAACAAGTTTTTTTAAAAAAAAGGTCAATAAGATAAAAGAAAATGCAATAATCATGTTTTCAATCCACCAATGCAATAACTAAAAAAAAAAGATTAAAACAGGCGGTATAGAGAATAACAATAGTGAGTATTTTCACATAATTTTAAAATGGACACCAGGTGAAAAGATTTGTCATTTGTGTACTTGTAGCTGAAGAAAATGTTAAGCTTAAACTACAGGAAAGATGGCCGCCACTAAGTATTTATGCACACAAACATACATTTGTATAAAACACGTCAAAACTTAATGCAGTGCTCACGCGCATGTGCTTGCAGTACTAATATTGTGAAGAGAATAATGTTTTTGTGTGGGTTGCTCTGTTTGTGTATAGTGTTTGAATGAGCTTGTGTTTATACGGCTTTTATTCATATAATATATATTTTTCTATTTATATTACTCTTTACATTAGATTATAAAAAATCTACATTAGATGGGAGAACCTGTATGTAGCATATAATAATGTATGTTTTCT